TGGTACCTCTTTAGCAGTGTGTCCTCAAGTATGTTACTTAACCTCTCTGAGCCTGTTTCCTCAGTTGTGATAGTAACCTACTCTGTAAGGTGGTGAAGAGGCTCAAATGAGGTTAGTAAAATTTGTGGTGCAGAGTCTGGTGAGAGGTCACTGAGCAGCTGTTATCACTGTAGGGACTGGCTCCAACCGAGGCTCTGAGCAGCTCCACTCCACAGTGGCCCTTCCTTACCCATGAGACATGAGTTCAAGTTCATTTTAGCCTCTGCACTTTTGCGCAAGCCATTCTCCCTGTCTAACGTGCCCTCTCCTCTTTCCATTCCATCACCGTCTTTGTCAAGAGCCCTCTTGCCTGGCAGCCTCTCAGAGGGCCCGTGGTTCTTTGTCCTTGGACCACTCACCAGTCAAGCTCCCTGCCTGGCTTAATGTTAGTATCCGAGTCTTCCTGGTCAGAGAAAGAACTCCTGGGGAACAGAGAACCCGTCATCTTCCCACCATGCCCTTCAGACTTCAGTGGATGTTGCTGGCCACAGGTATGTGAGAGCTCTGGATCAGGAGGAGGGAGGCAAGGACATAGGCCTAGGGGAGAGAGTCCTTCCGCAGCCCGTTCTTGCTCACAGGCAATCACTGGTTAACAGCAGGGACTGGCTTTGGAGGGGGAGGCCAGCATGACTGTCACATGGCTGGGGTCCCTGCCCAGAAATCTCAGATGTACCCACCATAGACCAGGATACAGCCTTTGAGCTGGAGGAAACTCTACAGGTGGATTGTTCAGACAAGGACCCTGGTGGGGAGGAGTGCGGCGGGGAGTGGCCAGGTCCCACCACCAGCCTAAGCTGCAGGTCCAGTAATGGAGTCCAGGTCTGAGGCCTGCCCGTGCCCAGCACTGTAGCAGACACCAGGGATAGAAAGAATACGCTGAAGAGCTTCTGTGGGTGTGACAAAAGCCACAGAGAACAAGGAGCTGGGAAGACTAGGCTGGGGTGGCCAGGGAGGGCTTCTCTGAGGTGGCCATATCCCCATTGCACCCCAAACTCAGCCTGTCCCAAACCAATGGGTGGTCTCCCTCTCACATCTGGCCCTCTCCCATCTCAGCCCTCAGCCAAGTGCACACTAGGGTCTATGGCTTCCACCTCCTTGACCCATTCACTCCCTCTCTGTCACGTGCCTGCCACTGCAGGCCGCTTCTACCCTTCTCCACTCTGACCACTGCTTATACTCTTGTCCACTTCTTCCAAAGAGCCACCATCTGATCCTAACCTCACCACCATGCTGAAGACTCTCCTGTGGCTCCCCACTGCCCTTGGGACAGAAACCACATCCCACGTGGCCTAGATTGGCCTGGCCCTAGCCCTCTCCAGCCTCACTTTTCACGCAGCTCCTTCTCCTTGCTCCTGCCAACTCAGGGCCTTTGCACAGATTATTCTCTTGTCAGGTCTGGCTAACGCCTACTCCGTCTCTGTCTTGCATAGCCTTCTCCCTGCCCATCCCACCCAGTGACCCATTAAGTCCTTGCAAGTCCAGATTCCGCTACCAGGCTCAGAAGGCCTGGCCCAGGTCCCTCCCTCTGCTGTCCAGGCCTGACACAGCCCACCTGGATGGTTGTTATTCTTGCACTCTGGCCATGAGCAGCTGCCATAGAGTGGGTTCCGGATTCAGTGCTAAAAATATCCCATGACCCAGACAGGAAGGGCTAGTGGGGACACAGCTGCTCTGGGAGGAGCTCACTAGAGCTGCAGTAGAGGCCTGCCCACCATGGTTTGGGGAGGTGGTCCATGTGCTGGAAGCAGGTAAGCATTGGGCTTATAGCCCCTGAGGAAAGACCCCCAACCGAGGATGCTCAAGGCCAGGAAGAGACCATCATGTACTGTCAAAATGTAGCTGTTCCAACATTCACACAAAAACATTCACCTTGTTTCTGATTCTTCCGGTTTGTTATCACAGGCACATGTTTCCTTTGGAATAAAGTACATTTTAAAATTAAGTGCATGGGGGAGCATTTGAGATCTCACTCCCCAGCATATGTCATCAGTTCGGCTCAAATAAACTTGTAAAAAACAAAAAATTAAGTGCATGGGGCCCTAACAGAAAACAGGTGAGCTCTGGTCCCTTCAGGGAGGGCTTCCTGGAGTAGGGGGCACCCTCCCTTCCTCTCCTCTTTTAACAGAACATCTAGGCTGGTAGGGAAGAAAATGAATGAACAAGATCCAGGGCAGTTCCAGAGGCGAGAAGCTGAGGCCTGAATAAGAGGTGGTGGCAGTCACAAGGTGTGTTGGAGTGGAGGGAAAGAACTGGAGAGTTCTGTGAGAGCATCGGATTCGACGTGGGCAGGGGTGACCCCAGTTTTCAGGACTGTCACAGGCTGGTAAGGGTCTCTCCTAGTGTGAGGCCAGTGAAGAGGAAGGCAGGCTTCATGGGCACTCAGGGGGATGCTGTCTGGCCTATAGGCACTGGGAGAGCCTGGACAGGGTATTTGGGGGTACTCTGGGTGTCTCCGGACATGGGGATCCCAGAGCTCCTTGTTCTACAGCAGCAGACAGGGTCAGAAGGCCAGAGAGGTGGATTGGGAGCAAGGCCCATTGTCACTTTGACAAAGGAACGCAGGCCTGCCTTCTGCTATAGCCCTCAGCACAGGAGAGGAGCACCTAGCCATCAGGGCTTTGGGCAGAGAGCTAAATAGATGTTAGCTTCTAGCACACAGCCTGCCTATGTCTTTAGGCCCCTGGGAATGTGTAGTGCTCAGAGCTTCTCTCCATAAATGTCTAACAGAACTCGAGGATCAGAGGAGAAGTGAACCCAGTGTCTCCATCATGGCTTCTCCTGGGCCTGAGACTGAACAGGAAAAGCCCGGACTGGACCCTAGGTCTTATTCTGCCTCCTATAGGCCTCGTTTTCTCAATCTGAGAATCCCCCAGGCTCTGAGAAAGGAGAATCTGCAGTAGAACCCACCATTGCTCCCCTGGATGTCTGGCCCAGCTGGCTGCGCCCAGCCTCCCAGGAATGTGCTTCTCCACCCCCAAACCAGGCGCCTGCCTTATCATCAGTCAAGTCACTGCCCCTGTTGACAATGACAGCCCCTCCTATTAGCCCCGGCTTGACCCTGAGTGGAAGGCTTGCCAGCACCTGCTAAGTGCCTGGAGGAAGGAATACCACCCTTTCCCCAGGAGACAAGAAACCCAACCTCCCTAGCTGGCTCCTTCGTGACAGTCAGGCGCCCGCCCTGGCGTCTGAGGCCCTGGATCCCTGCCTTCTGCCAAGCCTCCACCTGGATGGCATCTACTCTAGCTTGAACATGACCTTGGCCTACTTCACTGAAAAAAGGAGACTAGCTGAGGGGGGCTCCCTTAGCCTGCTCCCACTGCCCAACTTCTCAGCACCTTGGTCCAACTCTTGCTGTACCAGACCTCCTCACTCCTGAACCCAATGCACAACCCCCTTCAGTGCTCCCAGCCTCTCTCCCTTCCACTCCCCTCTGGAGTTGGGGTCCCTTGGGCCTCTCCCCAGAGGACCTCTCTTAGCACCCGTGTGAGTCTCTCATTCTCTTGGGATCCACCTATTTCTTGGAGGTTCTCCTCCATTCCAGTCTCCTGGAGGACCTTGGGGCCCTGTCCTGAGCATCCCTCATCATCCATACGTACACGCAAGGCTACATTGGTAAGGGCACATCCTTCTGGGCACCTTCCTCTACCTCATGCCCACTATTACACTGGCCACCAGGAATCTCGGCATGGCTGCACCCCACAGTCCCTTCCCAGGCCTCATCTCCCAGGGCTTCTCACTGCCTTGCTCCTGAAGCCATTTTCTGGTTGGCTCCTGCCCACCCACTCCCCCTAGTCTCTCTCAGTGTCCCTGGCTGGGTCTGCCTTCTCACTCTGACCAATGAAGGTCAAGCTGCCCGGGCCTGGCTTCTTCTTTTCTCAGTCTAGCCTTGACTCTTGGACATTTCACAAAGGCCCAAGGCTACAAATACCATTGATCTACTAATAATTGACATCTACATTTAGATCACTTGCCTGACTTCTCCCAACCAACACCACACTTGGATTTTTCCAGGCAGATGTCACACAGATCCCCCAAGCTCAATGAGGCCAGAAGAGGATTCCCCATCAGACCGCCTTTTCCCCAAGCGTTCTCCATCTCGGAAAAGGCTATTAAACTTCCATCCACCCTGTGGTTCAGGCCTCGAAGTTGCCCTTGACGCCTCTGTCACAGCTCTGTCGAGTCTGTCAGCAAACTCACATCCCACCTTTCCTTGACCTCCAGAATCCACTCTACCCAAGCCACCAATGTCTCTTGCAGCCTCCCTCTGCTCACTGATTCCTCTGGCAGTCTACTGTCCTCACAGCAGCCACAGGGATATTTTTAAAGTGACAATCAAGGATTACCTTTTCATAGAGGCTTCCTAGATCACCCCATCCTAGCATGGAGCCCACTATCTGACCTTCCACGCCCCACTTAGCTGTTATTTCTGTCAGTGCACTGTCCTGTGAACACTAGCTTTCATATTAGCATAGGCATATGTACTATACATCTTCTAGGTTACATCATGAGAGATAGTGTCTTTTTTTGGCTCCTGTGTATACAGCATCCAGAACAGTGCCCAGCACACAGCTGGTGCTCAATAAACGATTGACTTTCTTCATTAGAATGAATTAATGGAATTTCTCACCAAAATAATGAGGCCCTCTTCAGCCCATTCTCTTGCTCTGGTCCGCCTCGGTACCCTGGCGTCCCACGAGGTTTGCAAGTCCTCAGCCCGGCCCTTCCTCTGGCGAGCCGTCAAGAAGACTCCCAACAAGAACTGACATGTTCCAGCGGGTCCCTGGACGTGCGGGGGTATTTGGACATGCTGCTGAAAGCCTCCTTTGCTGTAGGTAAAGTGGCACCGTCTCTGGCTCTGAGGGGTGGAGGACAGGCCGCCGGCCACTACGTGGACCCACAGAACCTCACCGCCACTCTCGGGTCCCGCCCCCCCTCCATGTCCCCGCCCCTTTCTGTCTCGCTGTGCTTGGATCCGGTCTTTTCTCCACTAACAATTTTAGCCCAGCCCCCGGAGTGGCCTCGTGGGTCCTCGCTATTGGTCCTCTCGTCGCTCGTCTCGAAGCGGCCAGTTTCTCATTGGCTGCACATTCTCCCGCGCCGCCACAGCCATCACAACAACCGCCACGTGCTTAGCCATGGACCTGCTCATTGGCCCTAGGTCTCGACCCGCCCACGTCACCGCCCCGCCCCTGCTTCCCGCTTCTTCCTCCTATTGGTTACCTGACCCAAGACCCCGCCCCTGAGCCTGCGCGCACTACGTCTCCATCGCGGATTGGCGGGAAGGCGGGGTTTGGAATCGGGTTAAAGAGCGTGCAGGCGTTCTGGCCACGCGTGCCTGAGACGGTTCAATGGCGTGGGAGGGGCTGGCAGCCGAGTTCCTGCAGGTGCCGACGGTAACGCGGGCATACACCGCAGCCTGCATCCTCACCACCGCCGCCGTGGTGAGCTGACTGGGAGGGTGGGGGTGTCGCCATGGTTACTGATAAATCCCGGGGCTAGACCCTGACGCGTCCCTGGTTCCGCAGCAGCTGGAGCTCCTCAGCCCCTTCCAGCTCTACTTCAACCCGCACCTCGTGTTCCGGAAGTTTCAGGTGAGGCCGCCCCCCCTTGCACCTGACGGCCTGGCCCCGTTTACCCAGCGCCTGCCTGACTGCCCGCCCCTCGCAGGTCTGGAGGCTCGTCACCAACTTCCTCTTCTTCGGGCCCCTGGGATTCAGCTTCTTCTTCAACATGCTATTTGTGTATCCTGCGCCGCGCAGACCCAGGCGGGGAGGGGGCCGGCCCGCGGGGCTGAGGCGGCCGGGAGCGGGGAAACTGATACCCCGCCAGGTGGCACTTCCTATACTGACGCCGCAGGTTCCGCTACTGCCGCATGCTGGAAGAGGGCTCCTTCCGCGGCCGAACGGCCGACTTCGTCTTCATGTTTCTTTTCGGGGGCATCCTCATGACCGTATCCTTCCCCGGCTATGGAAGCTCAGGCCGCAGCGCCTTCTGGGTCCACCCTGTTAGCCCTGGGCCCCAAATGAACACCCAGGCCAGGGAGGGGACAGTCGTTCACTCCAGCTTAGGATGTATTGAGCGTGTAGCGTGTGCTCAGCTCCAGATGTCAGGACTAGATCTTCAGGGCTGTACAGAAACTACCACAGGGTGATGCATAGGAGAGCCATGTTGGGTGCCTCGGGGCTGAGCCCTACTGCCAATAGCAGGAGAAACTGGGGCAAGAACAGACAGTAGTGGGAGGCTGGGGTGAGGTAGAGACAAGGCAGATTCTTCATGTGGGACCTTAGATTGGGAAGAGACATCTTGATGGGGGAAGGACACATAGGGGTGATGAGGGAACTGAAACCAGTGACAGGATTGCAGAGGTTTAGCAAGTCAGAGGGGACCTGAGCAGGGGCTGAGGCCTGTACCAGGGAAGGGCCTCCAAGCACCTTGACTCTGGCCCAGCTGCTGGGGTTCCTGGGCAGCCTGTTTTTCCTGGGCCAGGCCCTTGTAGCCATGCTGGTGTATGTATGGAGCCGCCGCAGCCCTCAAGTGAGAGTCAACTTCTTCGGCCTCCTCACCTTCCAGGCACCATTCCTGCCCTGGGCACTCATGGGCTTCTCACTGCTGCTGGGCAACTCCATCCTCGTGGACCTGCTGGGTGAGCCTGCCTGTCTACCCAGACCACCCCAAGCAGGCTGTCTGGTACACGAAGGCCTGTGGGAGAGCCACCCCAGGCTGGCTGCTCCACCAGAGCCCTCCCTCCCACCTACACTGGACCTCTTCACCTCCTCTGCCTGCCCTTCCAGCATCTCTAGTCTTACAGCCCATTGAACAAGCCAGCCAGGTTACAGGCTTCACATTGTCATGGCTCACTTGTTGATGCTTGTGTGGGACCTGACCAGGGTGGGGATAGGTGGGTCAGTGTTCCAGCCATGGCTCCCATTTCCCTCCCCAGGTCCTGCCCTCTTCTAGGTCCTGTAAGAGTGTCTTTCTGGGCCAACATCAGCCCTGCCATGGGCTGGCAGTCTATGTAGGACACTGGCCACTCATGCTCTGAGGCCTGAGGTTGCTCTGGGCCTGGCTGGGCCTCCAAGGCTGTGCATTGAGACCCAAATTAGAATGTGGTGGCCCTGGGCTCTGGATGGTGGAGGGAGGGTGGCCTTAGCAGTTCGCAGCTCTCCTACAGGGATTGCTGTGGGCCACATCTACTACTTCCTGGAGGATGTCTTTCCCAACCAGCCTGGAGGCAAGAGACTGCTGCTGACTCCCAGCTTCCTGTGAGTGCTAAAGATGACAACCCTGCCCCTACTTCCTTCATGTGGCTCCCAACCCCCTGGGGGACCTGTGCTGGCCTCAGCTCAGCATGGGCCCCTCTCCACAGGAAGCTGCTACTGGATGCCCCAGAAGAGGATCCGAATTACCTGCCCCTCCCTGAGGAGCAGCCAGGACCCCTGCAGCAGTGACCCTACCTAGGGCCAGGCGCCTGTTTCCCTGGCCTCTGGCAAGCCTCCATCCCACCCCTAACCCCTACTTGCAGCAGAGAAACCTGCCTTAGAGGCTAGGCCTGTGCCCAAGGCCTACCCAAATAAACAGAATGACCTGTAGCCTCTTCGTCCACAGCACTGGCTTCCCCTGCCTCACCTGGCCATACCCTTCCATGCTGGGCAGGTGCTGCTGGCCTTGACCTAGGGCTACCAAGCCTGGGCCACCCTGTGTCCACCTTCTGCCCTAGAAGTGGGGCTGGCCCAGGGTACAGCTCTATTCCCATCAAGCCTGGACTGCCCTCTCATACCAGTCGTAGGTGGTTGGATGGAAAGCCTAGAGAGGGTCAAGAACCTGCCCACAGTTTCCTAGCAGAGCTGTGAGCTCACAGATGACAGGCGCAGGGGTTCTCATCCCAGTCCCTTCACTGCCTCAATGGAGCCTTGGGCAAATTCCACTCATGCTGGGCCTCTGTTCCCTGCCAGTCAGTGAGGGGGTTGGCCAGATCTTGATGTCAGGGACAGGTGCCAGGCTGTCCCTAGTTGTACCAAGACTGGTCTGCAGGGACTCCTGTCTGCAGTGCCCTCAGGCTGATGCCTCACTCAGCCCCTCCCATCCTTCACCAGCAACCAACCAGTGGAACTTTGCCCCATTTTCCAGCTGAGCAACTAACAGAAGTGGCCAAGGACCTATGGAGTCACGTGCAAAGGAGAGCCAGGACTGGGTCCTCTGCCATTTCTGTGGCCCCAAAGCCTTGAGAAGTTTTCACCTTGGTAGAGTCCTGCACTGGCTGAGGCTGAGACCTCTGGAAGTACTGTCCCTGCCTTTTTTAGCTGAGGACTGTAGGAGCCTTATCCGACCCCACAGCTAACTTGTCTCTTCTGTAAAATGGGCATCAGACAACCTGTCCAGCTTTCCTTGTTGAGTCTGCATTTTGGTTTATTCCTGGATGATCAACAGCACAGGGACTGTCACTTTCATGGATAAAAATATTTGCCATAGAATTGACCTTAATTTTATAGCAAAATCTTGTGGAGCAACATCTGGCCCTGTAGCAATGTGGGCTAGCAATGAGAGCCGTCCTCATTCCACCCCACCAGCTATGGAGGGTTCATTCCACCCTACCAGCTATGGAGGCACAGGGCTGTCTCCTGTCCCATAGACCAAGCAAACACCTTGTTAATGGAGCCTACTTGTTTCCAAGGCCAGCTGGGCCTGGGCCTAGAATCTTCGTTGTCAGGGGCTTCCAGTGAAGCCCAGCTGGACCTTTGTCCCAGCAAATTCCACTCCTAGATGAAAGGCAGGAGCCTGAGTACAAAACCCCAGGCAGTTGTCATGTCCTAAGACATGCTCACAGGACCCCCCTAGCCAAGATGGCAAGGCCTATCTCACCCTACAGCCTGGCAACCGAGAACCCTAATCCCTACCTGGGCTAGGAGCCAGATGCTATGGGACCCCAGCCACACTACCGGGGAGCAAAGCAGTCCTGACCCTCAGCCCTGCCCTGGTCAGGGAAGGACCTGCCAGCAATTGAAGATGGTACTAGCTGAGTGCTGAGGGTCTGGGCCCATCTTCAGTAAGTGCAGCTGCATGCCCAGTTCACCAAGCAGTGTTCGGCTTAGCAAGACCTACATACGCACTCAGGGATCCCGCATCCCTTCTGTAGAGTGGGGACACTTCCACACTAACAGATGAGGTGAAGATACAGAGACAGCTGAGAAGAGGCCCGGTGCTGTGCCTCCTTCTCTACATACAACTCCACCCCACAAGCCAGCACCAAGCCAAGCATGCTACTCCATATACGTTCTTCCTCACAACCACCCTTAAGGGAGGAACTGGCCAGGGTTGTGGCACTAGAAGGGGTGGAGATGGGACCCAGTCCACCTGTTACGTGTGTGCTACTGAGAGGTGTGGCTAGAGTGCTGCACACCTGCTGGAGCTGGAATGGCCAGGCACAGGCACCCGTGCTGGCGACACCCCTGCAGTGTCTGCATAGGATGGGCCTTTGCAAGGGTCTCCAGAGAAGGAATGCTCCCAGCAGGGATAGCTTGATCACCTGGATGCAACAGAGCCCAAGGACAGTGGGAGAGCCAGCGGCTGCTTCACAAGGTCAAGCAAAGTGGATGTGGTAGGGCTGCCACTGAAAGACAAGTGGGCCCCTGTCCTCTGAACCTCATGACCACATTTGTCATTTCTCCCACTCTTCAAGGACATCCATGTACATGTGATGGTGGGGAAACTGGAGGGCCCAAGGAAAAGCAAAGATTACACTCTGCCTCAAGCCTTGCAGGTGGCTGAGGGTGGAGCCCTGGAGCCCCCTCAATGCCAACCTGCCCACCTGGGGATCTGAGGCAGAGCAGGGTGAAAGGCCTAGCCAACCATCAACCTTGGCCATGTACCACCCCACTCCTTGTTCTCTTCCACACTTATTTTTATGCTACCACTTGGAAGAAATGGAATATGACCTGTTGCCTTTTATTTAAAAAGTGTTGCTAGCCCTTCCTGGGGCTCCTATAACAAAAACAAACACAACCCAAAACGAAGCCTCTTCTTGGCCAGAGACAAGTGGCGGGGACTGGGGCTCAGCAAATGGAATGTGTGCCCAGGGGAGGGTGACCTGGAAGGCCTCCCTGCCTGTGCTCCTCAGGACAGCCCTGGGCTGCCCCCTTGCCTCCCACCTTGCCAGAAGATGAAGGAGAGGCGGGCCGGTCTTCTGAACGCTCCGTGGGAGCCAAGTGCTGGTGGGCTGGTTACCACGCCGGGGCAGTATTGGCGAGACGCCTCATACGCCTGCAGGAGAAGAGAGGGCAGTGACCCACGGCTAGCTCCCAGCCTTGGGCAGCTGCCACCTGCCCCGGGGCTCTATAGGGCAGCCAGGGAAGTGGAGACAGAGACGGGAAATGGCAGGTGGGATCCCCAGCCCATCTCTTTTCTCAGCCTCAACCTGTGTGCTCCCTGAAGCTGCCCTCTCACTTGTCTGCTCAGGTCCTGCCCACCTCTCCAGGGGTCCTGAAACCTGGGTCTGGGATGCAGTCAGACCCAATAAGACGGCTTTCGCTCCCTTCAGGGTTTGAAATCTGCATCCTGGAAGCTAGACTTGGACTCTTCATCCTGGGGCCTGCCCCTGGCCACCTAGGTCCCCCTCCTAGAAACTGGCTCACTGGAGAAAGACACTGGTTCTGCACCTCCCTAGAAGACGGTGTCTGTGGGCAGAGACAGCTGCAAGGGCCCTGGGCGGGGCAGGGTACCTTGTGTTCCTGTCCTGGTCACGGATCTTCTTTTCCATCTCAGCATCTGTTAGGGTCTCCAGCAGCGGGCACCACTGGTCAGCATCACCTGTGTTCCGGATGGCAATCTCCACCGTGGGCAGGGGGTTCTCACTGGGATGGAGAGAGGAGAAAGTACTAGTTCACAGAGCAGCAGCCAGAAAGGCCCCAGAAACCACTATCAACCCCTTGACTGCCGGCAGATGGAACGCTGGAGCCAGGGCATGGCGGGAAGGCCCAGGCCTTTCCTGACCCCTCCTCCACCTCTTTCCCACTGAGCCTATTTCTATGCCCAGCTCCTCAGAGCAACACTCCTGGTACAGGCAGCAGGGAATGCTCCTGTCACCTGAGTCTCAAGGCAGAGCTGCCTGGAGACACCAAGACCTCTCCTGATCACAACAGCACTGCCTCCATGACCCCAGGCTTCTCTCCAAAGCAACAAGCCCTTCGCTGCAGCCTCAGTCTCTGGGTCTGTGAGACTGATTAGTGGTGTTTGCTACGGAGGTGGTTCCCTTAACAGAACAGGGTGGCTGGTCCAGCCGTTATCATTGGGGCTGGGAAGAAGGGGAGGACTGTCTGCCCCACTTAGTGTCCAGAGCCAAGACCCACTGATCAGAGAGACAGATGGAGGGTGAAAGGAGAACAAAAGAAGGAGGCCACTCAAGAGTCCTGGACGCTCCCTCACTGTGGGCCACTGGGCCGGTCTGCTCTCGAACGTTCCGCACACTTGGCCACTTCACTGGGGCTGAAATAAACTCCAGAGAGGTTGGATTATTTGCTGAGGGCAGAGAGCTGGGCCCTGAACCCACATACCCTGCGGTCCTTCCCCCCGAGGCCATCTGCGCATCCTCTTGCCAAATGGATACAGTTGGGGAATGGGGGGATCAACCTGGGCAAAGACTATGAGAGCACGGGGATGGGGGTAGGAGGCGAGGGCGGACAGGAACACAAGGGGAGGGAGGACAAGGTGGAGCTGCAGTCTCTCTGGGCCTTGGTTTCCAAGCCTGTGGGACCGGAGCCTGAAGAGGCATGGAGGCCGTATTGCCAGGAGGGCCCATGTGCCTCCCACCTTCAGGGCAGACAGCCTAAACCCCTAGCCTGGCACCTGGCACACAAGCTTCAGAGCATGGCCCTAACTGTGATCCTTTCCCACTCTTCCCAATGTCTCACCACTTCAGCCTCCCCAGGCCCTTTTCCCTCTCTAGCTAGGTGGCTGTGCCTCTCTCTCGAGGCTCAGCACCACTGAAGGCTTGCCCTGCTCTTTACCACAGCCTGTCAGGAGTCTGCCCACCACAACCTGGAGCCCTGCAAAGCACTGTCAGCTCTGGAAGGAGCAGGGGAAGGCGGGGCCCAGGAGAGGCACCTGGTAGGGCGGCCTTGGTTTTGACGCCTCATCCAGAAAATAGGAACGACATTATTGCCCTTGCCCTGAGGGATATTCAGAGCATTACTGTTATTAAAGCAGCCAGCATACATCCATTGAGGGAGCTTCCTAGGGTCCAAGACCTCCTCACACAGCCTCCCTGAATCCTGTGCCCAAGGTCACATGAGTGGCTGGCTAGCGAGGAGCATCCACCCAGGCCTGACTGTAGAGCCCCTGATCCTCAAGACACCAGCCAGCACAGGATAGCCAAGGGCTTGTTCCAGTCTCCCTATGCTGCTTTCCTGGCCTGGGGTCTCAGGCACCATGAGCACACAGGACACAGCCCAGGGGGCAGGCTGAGGCTGGTACCATAGCCTAGAGCTATGCCTGGCTCCCCTGCAGATGTGGGATTCACCTCTTGTTGCTAAGGCTTGGCCCATGGGGTCCACACAAACAAGGACTGAAAGCCTGAGCTCGTGCTGGTGACTCAGAAGCCAATGACTGAGCAGTGCCAGCCCCCACCCTGGAGCACCCTTGAGCCGACCCCTCCCAAGCAGCTCCTGACAGCTGCTCTCTAGCTAATGTGGTAGTTTGACAATCCAGGAACCACCCAGCCACAGACCCAAACATCATTCCTCACCTCGAGGGCTCCTAACCGCTTTTCACAGAAGGGCAGACATGAAAGGCGCCAAGCCCATGCCGAGGGGAAGAAACATGTTTTCCTTTTAATTTAAACAAGAGCTGATGAGTGGGTCCTGGAGGCCCCTTTGTTTACCTCCCCTGGGCTCTGGGAAGATTCCACTCCATTGGGTTTGTTATAAAATAAGAACTGCTCAAACCATGAATGGGCCTGGAGCCAACAGGCCTGACTCCAGTTTGAGGGGGACACACAGGCAGAGAACCACTCTAAGGTAATTCTGATTCATGGGCCTCAAGGCCCCTACTACTCGCCCCCAGTGTCCAGGTGGGGACCCAGAGCCCAGGCAGGGTGAGCCATCTCTGAGGCAACAGAGGGACTGGGACCAATGCTTATAGAGTATGTTGAAGTTCACTTTCAATGTGTTCTCACTTTTATGACCACACATGATAAAACAGACTGGCTCAGAAGCACTACTACGTCCACTGTTTAAATGAGAATGGAGACTACAAGTGAAATGACCTGCCCACAGCCACTCAGCTAGGAGGAGGAGACAAATCTAGACATCACCCTCCTATTCAGGATCAATTGACTTTCGACAGGGTACCAAGTCTACTTATCGAGGAAAGAGCAGTCTTTCCAACAAATGGTGCTGGGACAACAAGACCTTGGATTAGACAATGGTTTCTTAGGTATGACATTAAAAGCACAAGCAACAAAAGGAAAAAGAGAAAAAATGGACTATATCAAAATTAAAACTTTTTCACTAAAATAAAAATGCAACCCATGAAATGGGAGAAAATATTTGCAAATCATATATCTGATAAGGAACCTGTACCTAGGATATAAAAAGAACTCTGAAAACTCAATCATAAAAAAATTAAAATATAGATAAAAGATCTGAATAACCATTTTTCCAAAGATATGCAAATGGCCAATAGCACATGAAAAAAATGCTCAATATCATTAGTCATTAGGGCAATGTAAATCAAAACTACAATGAGATGCCACTTTCACCCCCACTAAAATGACTAGAATCAAAAAGTCAGATAAATGTTGGTGATGGTAGGGAGAAAAACTGAACCCTCACACTGCTGGTGGAAAAGTAAAATGGTACAGCTATTTTAGAAAGCAATCTGGCAGTTCCTCCAAATGCCAAACATAGTTACCACATGACCTAGCCATTCCACTCCTGGCACACACCCAAGAGAATGGAAAATGGGTGATCAAACAAAAACTTGTTCGTGAATGATCACAGCAGCACAAAAAGTGGAAACAACCCAAATGTCCATTAACTGATGGCTGAATAAACAAAGTGTCGATAGATGGACTATTATTCAGCCATAAAAAGGAATGAGGTTCTGATACGGGCAGGTTACCACGCAGATGAACTTTGAAAACATGCTAAGAAGTCAGCCACAAAAGACCACACAGTAATCCATCCTAATCCATGGTCTTGCTTTCCAGTTTCAGTTACCTGTAATCAATCATGGTCCGAAAATATTACGTGGAAAAGTTCAGAAATAACAATACAGAACTTTTAAATTGCAAGCTGTTCTGAGTAGCGTGATGAAATCTCATGCCATCCCTTTCCATGCTGACCAGATGTGAATCATCCCTTTGCCCAGTGTCTCCACACTGTATGTGCTACCAGCCCGTTAGTCAGTAGTTGTCTTGGTGATCAGATCAACTGCCGCAGTATCGCAGGGCTTGCTTTTAAGTAACCCTTATTTAATTCCACAATGGCCTCAAAGCACAAGAAAAGCCAATAAATACTCCCTTTAAGTGAAAAAAGCATACATGTATAGGAAAAAACATAACACATATAGGGTTCGGTACGATCCAATTTCAGGCTTCCACTGGGGGTCTCAGAACATACCACACAAATAATGGGGGGGACTACTGTATACTGTATGGTTCTATTTATATTAAGTGTACAGAACAGGCACATCTATATACAGACAGTAGATTAATGGTTGCCCAGGGCCGGGAGACTTTGGGAGGGTAACTGCTAAAAGGGTGTGGGGTTTCCTTTTGGGGTGATG